ATTCGTGATTATAGTTTTCTGAATTTGATTCAGGCGGGTTGCGTATAGGGTTTTGATTAATTCGCGATATGCCGATTCGGTGTAGTACGAGTTTCGAAGTTTTGACGGTTTTTCTTCTTGTTTCGGCATCTCTGAGCTGCTGTTCAGGTAAAATTTAATCGAATAGATGTGAGATTGTTGTTTTTGCTTTGATTTGGTTTCTGTGTTCGTTGTTATTTGGCATTTTGTAGTCGGGGTTTGAATATTGGAAATGTTTTTCAGAGGGCGAAGAATCGGCGGTTGTTACGCTTGATTCCATCGTAATATACAAGACGCACGAATGGTTAGCTTCGAAACCGACTGTTTATTTTAAATGTCAAGGGGGAAATAAGACGAAATTGCCTGATGTACAGAAAGAGCATGTTCTATACAGCTTCAATGGTGAAGAATCTTGGCAGGTTTGTGGTCTCTCATTGAGTTGTTTTGAATAATTTTAAAGCTTTTCCAACTTTGCTTTTCCTGCTTTTCATGCCTGACTTTATTGGATGTTGTAATTCACTCACGTTTGATAATCATTTGATTTTTAGATTTAAGCTTACATAGGTTTGAAAGCTAAAGAAAGTCATTTTCAAGAAAACTTAGTTTTTGTTTTTGAATTTGGATAAGAATCCAAAATTTTCAGTCAAAAAAGACGAATTATCGAAAAAAAATTGAGAAGAAACAAGCCTAGTTTTCATAAACAAAAAAAACCAAATAGTTATCAAACGGGGTAGGTCAAATTTTACCGACGAAAAAACACACACTGGTGGAAACTTTAGTGTCTTGTTTGCTTCTAATTATGTAATGATTAAAGTTCTTCATACAAATTGGAAAGTAACATACCATTAGGAAATTTTAATATGACGATTGTAACTTTTCTATGTCATTCAAAACAAAGACCTTTTGAACTCTTTGTTGCAAGAAACATAGTTTAATTTAAGAGTTCTGTTTTGGTTAAAAGCACATATTTCCTCTTTCATTTATCTCAACTGAGGAAAGGGATTGCATTGCATACACAGTAACAAATGGCACTGTTTACTATTGTTGTTTTGGTTCCAATGTCGAAATACTATCTCTGTGCTTTCAGCCATTGACTGAATTTAAAAGCAAAAAGTGTAAGCGATGTGGGTTCTATGAGGAGGACAGCATTAAATCTGATGATGTATTTGAAGAATGGGAGTTATGTCCATCTGATTTTACTGCACCTGATGGGGAATATGTTCGATACAACAAAAAAGAGTTCAATGCCACTTTTCTGTGCTTGGAGTGCACAGCTTATTCCAATGGTTAGTAATATTCTATAGCTTATGACTCTTTTTTTAGTTGAATTAATGTGGCCTTCATACAGCAATTATGTAGAAGGTTTAAACTGTATATGGTTTGAGTAATTGTTGAGTTTTAAATTACTGAATAAATCAGTTCCCTTCTAGATGTGAATGATCATATTGCTTTCCTCCACTAATGGTGGTTCCCTCAGCATGTGAAGAAAAAGGGGAAATCATCTTATTGATTCACTCTCTTAGATATTTTAGTTGTTTGTCATGGAAACTTTTGAGTTTGAAGATAAACACGATTCGTGAACATATAGATATAAGCTTTGTTGTTCTTAGTATCCTTGAAGTTCTGTATCACTTTTTCTTTCCTTACATTCCGCCTCTTTTAGTGTAACAGCTCAAGCCCACCGCTATCAATTATTGTTTTATTTGGACTTTTCCTTTCGGGCTTCCCCTCAAGGTTTTAAAATGCATCCACTGGGGAGAGGTTTCCACACCCTATAAGAAATGCTTCATTCTCCTCTCCAACCGATGTGAGATCTCACATTTAGTTAAGATGAATGCAACCATATAAAACCTTAATCCACACCTTTTGAGGGAACACCTTGTAACATTTTTCATTTTGGAAACTTTGAAGCCTTCAACAGGATTCTAAATGAAGTATGAGCGCTCGAAAGAAAATTAATCTAATAATAATAGAAAGAAAAACTCTCCCAAGATCCTTTAGAATTTTAGTTAATTATGCATGGCATAATCAATGAACGTGCACTCATGCTTCTTGCCTGCTTCTCAATTATTTTAAACAAGTCTGTGACCATGACTCTGTTGACTTGTCCATGTGTTTTTGAAGAATTACAATCTGCATTTAAGAATTTGTCAAATTGATACTTGCAGTTACCAGTTCAAGCTCACATTCACACGATACAGAAAAGGGAATGCATGCTGCTGCAATCATACTTATCAGTGTTATAGTTTCAACTGTGTTAATTGTTGGTATGGTGATAGGATACAAGTATTGGCAAAAAAAGAGAAGAGAGCAAGATCAGGCCAGATTCCTGAAGCTGTTTGAAGATGGGGATGACATCGAGGATGAATTGGGCCTTAACGATGTAATTTGAGAAGATTTGGTACACATCAAGAAAGAGAAATACATGTACAGATACTCATTTTGCATAATATTCTTTTATTACCTTCGGGTTAGAATAGAAATATCATGAAATTTCTGCTTTGTTCATTGATCATAGGAAGAACATCCTCTAAAATGGTACGAAGAGATATATGTAGGGGGCTAGAGGGAGAGCGACCATAGGGAATCCTGAGTTTTGCTTACTTTGGTGTAATAGAATACGGAAAACTTCTTATTTCTTCTGGTAAAAAATATGATTACATTGCATTCAGCCAATTGTTGTCTAGTTCATGGCCAATACCCCAGGATGGATTCTAGGAGGGCCACAGCCTCAGAACTGCAGTCTTGTTCTAGTCTCAATTCTTGCCCATTCCAGTCTTGTTCATCTTCTCCAAGTCCAAACCAATATCGAAAACAAGCCCAATCAAATTCATAGTATAGGTTTCTAGGATCACCAGTATAATCCTCAGTTTGATCCTCATTGTGGAAGAGAATGAGTTCTCTATTCTCCATTGTGCAGCCACTTTGATTGTCATAAGGGTCTTGGCCATTGAAGATGAGATCCGAGGAGTCGAGTTCATTCTGCGAATTCTCGAAACAACTGAGGTTAGTCCGCTCACCCTCGGGATCATCTTCAATTGGGTCTCCATCAGAAAACTGGTGTTGGCCTGTAAAACCAGTCCAAAATGGAGAGGGACTCCGACCGGGGTAGTCGTAGCTGTTTGCATTGGCCATGAGCAGGCCAATGGAGTTAGAGCCACTGCAATTCATAACAGATACTCAAAAGTTGTGTCTTGGGGGATCAAAGTGTTGGTAGTATGCCCTGTTATATAAACTTGAAAAAGGATAAGAAAACACCATATTTAGCAACATTTTTAGCTTTGAGTACGAGAATATTCTGAACAGCTTTCTTGGAGGGGATGAAAAGCAGCTAAAGGAAGAGAAAAAGAAAGGCATCATCACCAGGTTAGTTGCCAAAGCATCTTTATCAAATTTCTTTCCTCCAGAGTGAACAAACAAGAAGCCGAATAAGAATCCTTTTCCTCTTTGCTTTCAGGCAAGAGATATGCCTTGCGCAGACCGTCGGCGTAGTGGCTAACATGTGCTACACACCATTGCTCTTATCTTCTGAGGTACATGCCAATGAAGGCACTCTTTCAGTCCCTAGACATGCAATTTACTAATAATGTTAGTACACCATTTTTATGGCTTCAACTCAACAATATTTGGTTATATTTCGTTCGTCCTTTCTCTCGAGAAAGTAATAACTCAGTCCATAAACTTTTGTTTGTGTTGTTACCAAATTTTGGGCGGAAAAAATATATTTGTCCTTCACGTGAAAACAACGGTAAATTTAGTTCGTAAATTTTAATGTGTTGTTACTGAAAGATGCTTTTTCTTGTGTTTTTTTGTGGATGGTGATCTCCATTTGAATCCTCTCCCTCGTCCATATTTTCGCTCGTCCATAAACATGATGTGCAAGATTAACAAGCATGTTTTTTCTTCTTTACAAGTTCAGATAAAGAAAACATATAGTTGGTAGTTACGTAATACTAATGATAAATTTGTTTAAATGAGAGAACGTAGCCGGTAAAAGAAGAGGAAATTGTACAAGATGTGGTGCTTAACACACAAGAAATTGCACGATGGGGTGCTTATCACACCATGTGTGATGTCCCACATTGGTTGGGGAGGAGAACAAAACACTCTTTATAAAGGTGTAGAAACATTCCTCTAGCAGACGCGTTTTAAAGTCTTGAGGAAAAGCCCAAAGAGAATAATATTTGCTAGCGGTATGGAAATTGTATGGAAATTGTATGTGATGTGGTGCTTAAAACAAAGGATTTTAGTGTAGCAAGAGCTTTTGGAGTGACGAATAGCTTACTCTCCTCGGTTGAAGATAGAAGATAGATATTTATATGAAAATCATTTTGGATTTCTTACATTTTCCTTGCGAATTAAGTTAAAGATGAACTAGGACGGCTTATTAAGTTAAAGATGAATATTTATATGAAAATCATTTTGAATTCCTTACATTTTCCTTGCGAATCAGGTTAAAGATGAACTAAGACGGCGAATTAAGGTAAAGATGAATTAGGTCGGAGTCGAAGAGTTGTAATTTAGGCTTAACCCAAATTGAACTTTCATTCTATATTGGTTCAAATTTATCTTGCGTTGGACTTATTCCTATTAATTTTGTTTATATTTCTTATAACTTCACCTAGTCTTTTGAACTTTGGAACCATTTAGTAACGATTTAATAATGTACTTTTAAATTCTTACCGTTTTAGTTTTAATGGTAAAGAACATCATTAAAATTCAATGAAATTTTCTAACCATCTTGATCGAAAATTTGTTAGGGATCAAATGTGTTTATAAACGATAAAGATTTATTATATAGTAAAAATCGAATTGATAAAGTACAAATACTAAATTGTTACAGGCTAAAATTTTCATCATTGTCCAAGAACTACATTATACCAGCAAAAATTTAAGAATAAATTATTACTTCTATGAAAATTCTAAGAATCGAAGTGTTTTCAAATTTGAGAATCGATATTAAGAATATTATCGAGCCTAAATAAGAGAAGAACTATCTCCAAATGTACGTAATTCTTCATTTGTATAAATCAATTCCCTCGAGAGTAATTAACAAGCACTTTTGCTCCAAAAGTCAAATGTTTGAACTTCCATCTGTTCACCAAGAATTGAATGAATTGTTAAGCTACTGTTACTGTGCTATTCACAAATATGTGATTTCAGAAGGAACAGAGACTTTATTCCTTTTGAAAAAGTGAAGACTAGAGAGAATGATAATATACGTTTCAGCATATTGCAAGAACACTTTATAATCTATAAGAAAGATATGTGACCTTTGAGCATTCTATGCAGACTCAGAGCCCTGAACTGCCTTGTTGAAGCCTTCCAATTCCTTGGACTGGAAGCCATAGATTGCTTTTATGGTGTCCCTGCAGCTACTGCAGCAAAGATGAAGATGAACAGTTAGCCCAAACTCCACCATTTACAAGAATTTGGTATCCTAAAACGCCAGAGCTGCATACTAATTGTTCTCACTTTCACCCACTACTTTGAACCCCTAATCCGTTTGTTTTTAGTTTTCCATTTTTGAAATCGTGCTTGCTTAAAACAACATTTGGATTCTTAGCTAAATTTCAAAATAAGAACAATGTTTCTAAAATGTTTGGATTCTTAGTTTAGATTTTGGAAACATTTTTACAAAGTCGAGATGAAGATAGAAACTCATGATTATCGAACGGGAGTCTAATATGTTTGTTCTTGGTGTGTTGTTATGTTTTCGTTTATCTACTTTCTTCGAAATTCGTGTTGAATAGTCATGTTACCGTATTAACAAACTGGACTATCTAGAATGGTAGTTCAAAATTCAATGTCTAAGAACAGTTCAAGAGTTAGATACCAATTAGATGCAAATTTTTGTTGAACTGTTAATCAAAGTTTATAAACTAAATAAACAATCAGCTGATCAGGAACAAAGATTTTAAAGCAAAAAATATCCACTCATGAACAACAAAATATGGAATAAAAGAGCATAAGGTTTATGAGAAGACCTGCAAGCAACCTTGTTGAACTTGTTTTCTTTGATTCCATATAATTTTTCAAACACAGGAGACTCTACACGGCAAAAATATGGTCGATCTGTGAAAGTTAATGGAGAATTAAGCCTCATGTTTGAAACACAGTGTTCGAATTCAAAATTGGAAGCTGTGGCCTAAGGAAAATCTTACCGGCGTAGATGGAGCATTTACGTGAACTCTTCTCGTAGTGAATGCACCATCCATCTGCGCCAATCAAGCTTTTGTATAGCTGAAATTCATAAGATTAGACCATATCGATTGATACTGAAAATCACAGTGCTGAAGAAGAAACAAATGCTTTAAGGAAAATTCCATCTGAAACCCTAATTTTCGCGTTGAAATGAAATGACGAACCTCGATATCGGATGGATTCTGGAAGATTTCCTCTGGCGAGGCGAAGGAAGGCCCCTTGGCAAGCTTGCAGCAGGCGCCGCATCCCTCGACGCACTGCCATAATTCCTCCTTTCTTTTGCCTGCGAACCCTGCATTGGTCCTCCGCCCTTGCTTGGTCTCGGTATTCTTCGTCGGAATCTGCTTCGACCGGCGAGCAGCGATTACGGTGAGTTGCGGCGGAGCCACCATGTGGAGCATTCTTTGGAGTTTGGATAAGCGTATAAACTGTGACTGGATTTTTAATAAAGAAATTCACTCTTAAGGACGAATTTTAACTTAAGTATTTAAAATATTAAAATATCCAAATAAGTCATAAATTTTAAATCTTAAAACTCTCAATTTTCTAATTTTATTAAAACAAATGTTAGACGACTCTTCGTAATAGTATGATATTGTCCACTTTGAGTGTAAGCGCTCGTGGCTTGGCGCCTCATACCAATGGAGATAGTATTCCACTTTGAGATTCCACTTTGAATGTAAGGGAGGCTTTGCTTTGGGATCTCCCAAAGCGCTCGTGCCTTTGCTTTGGGGTCTCTCAAAAGGCCTCATACCAATGGAGATTTTGGTATTCCAGTGTAAACGCTCGTGGTTTTGCTTTGGGATCTCCTAAAAGGCCTCATACAAATGGAGATAGTATTCTTTGATTATAAACTCAACCCATGATCATTTCCTAAATTAGTCGATGTGAGACTTTCATCCAACGCCTCCCCTCCAACAAAGTATGTCTCCCCTTAATCTCCCCTTAATCCAAGCTTGACTCCTTTTCTTTTGGAGTCTTAGTCATTTTTTACTATGCCTAATTGTTTGACATTTGAGGATTCTATTAACATGGTAAAATTAGACAAAAAAAAAAAAAAATATAT